GGCCCAACACCCAATTAACCCACCACGTTGGGCAAAACCTTTTGGGCCTCTTCATTTTAAGCCACATGAAGCACGGGTACGCCAATGTCACCGGCAACGAAATCCCCCCTACCAAGCCCGCCACGCTGCCTAGAAACGGAACCGCCACGGCTATGAAAAAGCACACGAACCCAAAAAAGGCTCGTATAATGGCCCGAAGCCACCACGAACAAGGCTTTTTGAACCGCCTCGTGTAATTGGACTCCATGTCGTCGAACATTGGCATTCCGTACAATTGGAACGAGCTCAAGGCATTAACTATGACGAAACAACTAATTAATCCTAAGATTGGGCGTCCAATGTCTCGACTGTGGAATGCGTACAAGGCTGTTAACATGCCGCCATTAGCCGGAATCTGTTGATTTAATTATTATATTATTTTCTCTCATATTGGATAAAAAAATAAATAAATAAATAAATAAATAAATTGGAGGTGAATATTAACATTGTATTGTAAGTACCATGTGACCATAAGCCCAATAGCCAGCAATAGCTAATGGAAATAAGCACGTTGTTGCTATTAGGGAATATGAAGCTTTGACGCCTCTCCACATTGGCACAGTCGATGGATGTTTTTCACTAGACGGCATTGTCGCCTGTACAAGTCAAAATTGCTCAATTAGTGTAAGTCAAAATTCCAGTTTTTTTTTTTTTTTTGTAATGCAAGTTTCAAAGTTGTATTTTCTTGTCAAAATAACTGAATAAGTGTGTGAATGTAAATTTAATCAGTTTTTTTCTTTTCTAGCAGCCAAATTAAGAATGTCCTCTTTTTCGGCTAAGCCACTCACAAAAGTCAATTTTATCTTCCAAAATGTTCAGATATATGTGATTGTCTATATTGTACTACGCAGTACACAAAAAAGTTTGTTTTGTGAAACAGCTTAACCGTTAACTCGTCACACTATTTGAAAAAAAAAATGCGTTAAAACGGTAATAACCTGAATTTCAAGAATTAGATTATGGCCTCGAAAAGCGAAAGCAATAATTCCGAGCGCATTCAGCACATCGAAAATCCGAGAAACCTCACCGCGCGACTTGATGGGATGATACGAGACGTTCGGAAGCCTGCCCTCGGCCACCGACACCGCCCAAATGCCCGTGCAATATCCAACGGCCGTGAGAGCTCCGATCAAAGAAACTCCGGCAATGGAGTTCAAATTCGGCAGCTGAGACAACACAACAGCCGCGCACGTGAAGATAAGGTACCACTCGACATTGCTCAACGGCCTTGGATCGGCACAAGTCGGCCCACAGAGGGTCGTGTAGAACATTCTAGAAGTCGAGCCCCCGATCACGATCAAGGCCACACACGTGCCAGCCGAGAGGTTGATGATCGGGAATGCGACTATGAGTTTCGATAGGTTTTCACCTGCGAAAATATATTTCAATTTGATCGAAATTGAAAGATTATTACATGATATATAGAATAAATAAAATAAAAAAAAAATTAGTGCTAACCAAAAGTCGCGCTAGCTAGCTGCATGTATCGGCTGTATCGAACTCCATCTTCAGGGGATTCGTGGAGCTGCACAAGCAAATACAGAGTGTAGAGTTGCCATATAAAGGCCAGGGTCAAGCCAATTATGCCCCATGTCCTGAAAATTAATCAAGAAAATATGTGTGAAAAAGTTTAAAAACATAATACACAAAAACCATTAGTACGTAGTTTGAAATATTGATCGCTACTTATTATTTAAAATTACTACAGTCTTGTCACGGAATCATTCAGCATGTTATAATCGTACATTATCTACACTATGTTAATCTACATGTGTATCTAAAAGGCTAGTAAATAATTTTGTGATGGGACTGTAGTCATTAATTCCCTAATTACTAATTACCAGCCAAGAATTGTGAAGGCAACAGGGACGACAAGTGCTTGAATACCAATACCCGAGCAAAGAGTATGATAGGCGGCGTAGTACGCATTTCCATTTCTCGACTCGGTTATAGGGAGCCACGCGTCTTGAGGGTCGAGCCTTGTGAACCTAATGGCTTTCCTCAACGGGCTGCCTAACGGAGTTATGAAATTTGGGGTTCGGATTCTCGGGTTTTTGCCGCCTGGAGTTAGGAGTGGAGACCGGCTAAGGGACGGCGAGTGGTATTGTGATGGGGGGAGGGAGACTATTTGGGGGGTTTGGGCTGCCGGAGGAGTCGAGTCCGGCCGGGAAGGGGTTGCCGGAGCTGAGTTTGGAATTGGATCATTCATTTTTTTTTTTTTTTTGTGACTTTGGTGGGCTTATGTGGTTTAGTATAATTAATTTGTAAGGGTTTATGTGATATGTGGGCTATGGGTGACTGACTGCTGCTATATAGGGAAAAAAAGGAGTTGTTGGACTTTGGACTTTATATTTATTTGATTATTATTTTTGTTAGTGCATGAAAACGTGATGCAATGTGTTGTTATTAATTTTTAAGTTTGGGGTTGGAGAATATGGATTTGAATGAAATTGTTGGTTGGAAATATTATATTATAATTTAAGTAAATATTGTAAAGCGTGGCGTTCAGCGTGTGACAGTTGACTAGGATTTTTTTTTTTATTTTTTTAAGCTTGAAATTGAAAAATTAAAAAAAAATAAATAAATGAAAGGGGAATGCAAAGTGATTGACAAAATTGGCTGCTCATCTTATTATTAATTTTTTTTGGTACAGGGATTTTCCAGTTTTCAGATCCACAGGGGAATCGATTAATCTGGAATTGAGTCCGGTAGGACCACAAGGGCGGCAAAGCTCTCCCTCAAGAGTTTTTAAAAGTTGAATTTGTTTAAGTCGTTGTGGTCGTCGTCGTCGTCCTGGGGGTTTGGATGATCGATGATGAATTATATATAGGTGGGGAGTGAAGACGTATGAACTTTAGTAGTAAATGCTAGCTAGCAAGCAATTGCTCACAAAGTAGTAGTCGTAGTATTTTCAACTGCTAGCAGCAGCATGTAATATTAATATGACGACGCGCGCTCACTTACTTTGAAATTGAAGTCCCATTAATTAATTATTTACTTACTATATATCCAGATTGTGATGATTAATTAATACTAGTAGTACAAAATATGACTACCTACCATTTCAATATTTCATTTCAGACCGGCTATCTATAATACTACTAATTAAATGCACCAATATTTAACCAATTTAATTAGTTTGTCCTTACTCTTGATTTTATTTTTGTAATCTACTACTAAAAGTTGTTGGAATAATGTACTTTGGAATTGAGATATGTGTCTGGTAATGGTGCTGTAGTAGGTGGCTGGTGTGCGCTAGTCAAGCACATACATGCTAAGGATATGTTTGGTAAAACTAGCTGATAAACTAGCTGATAACTGATAAGCTAGCTTATAATTTATAACTTATGACTTATAGCTGAAAAGCTAGCTTATATGATAAAAGGTGTTTGGTAAATTAGCTGATAAGCTAACTGAAATAAGAAATTCAACTAGCTTATTTGAAAAGCTATCTAAAGTAGCTTATAAAATAAGCTCGAGCTTTTTAAAAAAATTCGTCCTACCAAACGAAACTTGTTTTAAACAGGGAGCTTATAAGCTAATCAAATAAGTTAAAAGCTAACTTATTTGGCTTACCAAACATACCCTAAATTGAGAAATTAATATAGTTTGTCCATTTCATTTTCTTTTACTGTTCAATTTAAATATAACAATATTGTAAACATATATATTATCCAGACTTTAAATCTTGATAAAGATTATATAATAATATTGTATATGGGGCCAACATATATATATATATGTGTCATGTTTGGTAACTTTTCCTAGGCAGAAATTAATAGTAAGAAATAGAGTTGTACCCAAAAAAAAAAAAAAAGTAATAAATAGAGAGATCAAATGACGACAAGTAATTATTGTAGTACTATGAGTAATGATCCCATATCTACGGTGGTCACGTATTAATATGTCAACCGCTTACGTGATATGCACACATTGGTGATGTTAATATGTTTAAAAAAATACATCACCAATGTGTGCATGACACATAAGCGGTGGACATATTAACATGTGTCCACCATAGGTAGGAGAGCATCGATTTTGCTATAAAATCAACAATTAGCTATACAGTGAAGTCAATTTCAATAAATGAACCTACAATATTAAAATTGGCTGCATCATGAAGCCAAGTGTTAGGCAAAACCGGGGGAAACTCCAGATGTAGAGAAGCGTGAAAGACATTTGCAGAGTGCATTAATAAATAATAATTAATGTAAGGTGTGATCAATTCATAAACATTAGACAGCTGAATAGACATCAACAGCTACGTACGTACCAAATGGGGCCTTGGAGTTTTATTAATTTACAAGACATTCTTTCCAACAGTACTGCTGCTGCATGTATTTACATTATTACATTACATCGGGGGATAAAGCAGTATTACTCACACCTTAATTCATGGATGTGATTAAATACAGCCCTTTTTTACTAAACTAGTACAGAGCCCGTGCGATGTACAGAGTGCACAATTTTAAGGTCATTTATCAATTCTTATAATTATATAAATGAATAAAAAAAAATATACGGGATATATATAGTACGTGACCTGTAAATTGTAATAGGCTAAAATGTGAATGCGGGTGATGCACGGAGTGCACAATTTTAAGGTCATTTATTAGTACAGAGCCCGTGCGATCCACGGGGTGCACAATTTTCTAGTATGTGTAATAAAAATACATACCGTATGCACGGGACAGAAGCACTAAATGAGTCATTTCCACAGAGCTTGCCCGTTAAGTAGCTCATGAACACGTGTGCACAATTTGTAGTATGTACCATAAAATCAGAACATATTTTCATACAATTAGATAATAAATAAAGCTTTTTTATTTTAGTAAAGATTTTACGTACTTTGTTTTTTTACTTATCGGATGTTATGGGATTTTTTTTTTGT